AAAATAACATAAAATGAGAAAATTATAATTAAAATAAGGATAGCAGTGAAATTTTTAACATTGGGACATAAAACTTAAGGGACGAGAACAAGGAAGCATTTTGTTTTCATTGTTTTATTTCATGACCGTTATTTTATTACACTTTGCATAACATTTGTCTAATATTTTGTTCATATATAAATATTTTTGTTCTTCGTGTTTTTAGACAAAAAACAAATGAAAAATGTTGAAATATGTTGAGGTTAAAGGAAGAGGATCCACGGCATCTCGAGTCAAAATAAGCGAGAAACCATATCATAAATTTCCAAAAAATTATATTGGCATGAAAATTACATATAAGTTAGATAAAATAAAATGAAACCGCCGTAGAGAATGGTGGAAAAAACTTAATTTAATATTCACCCGGCTGGCTTCAATGAACAAATCAATTTGAAAACCAATATAAAGAAAGTAACCCAACATATAATTTTTGTGGTTTTGTATGTTTGTAGCATACTTGCATAGATGCTCGGAACGCAACTCATATTGGTTGAATAAAAACTCAATGCGTATTTTAATATCTCAAACATAAAAAACTAATATAAAATCTTTAAAAAACAGAAAACAACTATCACATAAAAAGTCGCAATAATGAAAAAATAAAAAAAAGTTTAAAATATCGATGAACCAATATAAAACGCAGGGATAGGTTTACTAAATTTGTTACGAACGTGATTTAATCAGCTAACCTGAGTTTGAAAAAATTTACCTTCAACGTGATATGAGAAAATAAAATCAATTCGTCAATTGTCATACGCATTCTGTTCAAAATTTTTTCTTTTCATCACATTCTCAGCCAATAAAACTTTATTTAATGCCATTTTTTAAATAAAACTTTTATATCAGAAATATTTTTCAACATTTAAAAAATCAGGAAATGCACCAAAAATAGCAATTCAGTTGAAAACTCAGCAGGATAGGCAGGAAAATGTTTATTTAATAGAATGTCGAAGTTATAATACAAGGATGCTGATTTCAAATTAAAAGTTTTAAAAAGCTATTACATTACTACTGCGATAGATACGTTACACGTGCCACAATTTTTTCTTTTTTAAACGACATAGTTTCCATTTTGGTGATATTGTACACCAAGTGTCTTGTTCCCTTTATATTTTGTCATATTATTACAAGTGTTTAAGATTGATCATTAAGCTGTTTATGCAAGTTGAGGCTGATGTTCTTTTATTGCGAATTTTGCTTTTGTTTCATCACTTAACAACAATGTGTTATGGTCAGATAATAGGAGGGTCCGATTTACTTAATAAGTAATTATGAGTCAGTCGGTAACATAATTTAATAAGCATTTGATATTGATTGAAAATGTGTGCACATCCCTATTCAGCGTATTTCTATTCTTAAATGAGTAACACAATAACATTTTTTTATTCAACAAGTAGACAAATAAAAAATGTTTGTCTGACTATTCCTAATTAATTCAACGTGATTTGATTGAGTATATCAACACTTTTCTCAGTAGTTCTCCTAAGTTTTAGTTGGAAGTTTAAACATTTTTTAAATGGCTGAAAACGTCCATGCCTTTTTCGTACCAATAAAATTCAAGAAGATTTGAGTGATTGATTTAATAAAAATCTGAGAATACTAAACAATCCTTTAAAAGGACGTTCAAAAAATTATTTCATTGTTTATTTGTTGACCTAAGCTCTTATTTGTCAATAATAAAAATTATTTATAAGTAAATAGCCACAAAACATGACGTCCATGACTTGAGCCAAAAATAATTTTCAACATATAAGATATTAGTGATTGCACAGAAGATTGTTGGGTTAGCGTTTGAATTGAAATATAAATGCGGGTTATAAATGTCACATAATAGAATGCTATGAAATGATATTGATTCAAAATTATTTTTAAAATGATAAAATATTAAAAAATTAAAAACTTATTTTATAAAAAAAATAACTTCATTGTGTACTTGTTAATGTTAAGCTATACTTGCTAATGTTAAAAATCATTTCCAAACAAATAGCCACAAATTAAGATGTTGTTGTATTTTAAACAGCCCATCATTGTTTACACGATGAACATAGCCTACATGTTATGTAATTGAGTATCAATAATTCTATACATTCTTTCTACTGCTACATGTTTGAGTATCAATAATTCTATATATTCTTTCTACTGCTACATTTTCCTTCAACAATTCAAAGACCATTTTTATCACTTTTATGAAACTGTTAATGATTACTTTAGATATTGAGTTCAAAGATTTTTATAAACATTGTTGATAAACAAAAGTTTTCAACTTCAAACGGCCTTAACGACGGCTAGCGGGGAACATTTCAAGCGACGGAGACCACGTTCAACCCGACAATTTCAAAGGTTCGTCTTATTTAAATACACACTGGGAATATTTTAAACAAAGTATGTCAGCTTCTGTTTGATTATTTAAAAAATTGCAAAACTGATTCATCGTATCTCTCAATTTGGCTCTCGAACGTTCGCTGTTCACATTGACTTTCAAACTCTTACCAGCAGCTGAATAAGACGAGAGAGAAATAATTGAAATGCATTTCTCCAATACTAAGTCTGCTTTTGCGTATGCATCACATGAAACATCTGCCCTGAAAAAATGCATACAAGTAGGAATACCTGCTTAATAATGTTATCATTCATATATATATATATATATATATATATATATATATATGTATATATATGTATATATATATATATGTATATATATATATATTTGCAATATGTATATGAACATGATTCGCAATAAACGTTCAATGAACCATTGTACGCTGCGAGTTAACATCGAGTTGCCACTAGATTCATTTGGTTTATACTTGCTAACTTTCAAAACGTTGCACTAAATTATGAAGTGAATATATATATAAATATGTATAGTAATTTGAAATAAAAAATTTGTTTTGAAAGTAAAAAAAAAATTATTTTTTTTGTTGTTCAAAAAAATTAAAAACTAAAAAAATGTTATTTTGCTAACCCCAAACGTGAACTGAAAAAAGATAAGAATGTTAGTGAAACTGTGCGTCATCTATTTTTTATAAAACTTAATAAACAAGCACCTACATACATAAATAGCATTTATGCACCGGTATGTATTAAAATCTTGATTGACTTTGTTATGAGCGGAATGTTATTGTAATTGAACTTCTATCGTGGAACATTAACAAGGCTAGCGCTTTATAGGCAATAATAACGTGTAACCTAACTTGTGTTGAAGCATTTTGATATGTGCTTTCAACTGGTGAACAACATTGATAAATAAAAAGTTACGACGCAGCTAAAATATGCAACATTAGATATTCACGGCTAGATATAAATATCTGCACATACACACACACACACACACACACACACAAACACACACAGATATAGTTCAGAAACGCAAATTGAAATTTGAAACCCGGGTTTGTCGCATGTCTACAAGTGTGCGTGCTTTTTTGATTTGTATTGCATAACAATTTTCATGCGAGAAAGGTGCCCGTTTGTATTCGTACGTATTTGCTTTCTTCAAAAGCACGAAATCATGATTTTATAATAGATTCGCGTACACTGTGCAATCTAGCATATCGATATTCAATTTCTAACAAATTGTATGCACACTTTGTTAACTTAGTTCTAAATGTAATCTAAAATTTTTGTAAAAGAAATGTATTTTACACGAAACATGTGCCAAAAAGGATGCACATGTACAGACGCTAACAAACACAGAAACACACACACAAACAAACACAAAGACATACAACACACACACATACACATATATATATATATATATATACATATATATATATATATATATATATATATATATATATATGTACAAATATATACATACATATATTATAAAATAATATGTATCTCTCTTTTTATTATTATCTTAAGTGTTTTTAGTTTAACACTTAATGGTAGACCGAAAGAGTATTTATTCCACTTGAAGTTTAATTTAATATTTTATATAAACTTATTGCAAGTCATTTTTTCTGTTAACTTATATTTTATAATAATGTTGATGATTGGACATCTCGGCGACCATAGAACCTCGCTTCGGGCCTAACTTTAGTTACCAAAGAAAATATTGAAAATAATATATATATTTTAATTGTAATTTGTTACTTATAAAACGCTAATTTATTAATGCTTCTCAACACCGCTCTCCATTTAGAAATATCCAAGAATTATTATACTGAAGTCTTTTTTGCATAGTCACAAATGGTATCGTCAATCGTTAAAACAGATGTGTTTTAAGACATTTTCTAAACTCTGATAATGATATTCTAGATTTTCGTAGACCATTCCAGAAAACAGGACCAGCCACTGCCAAATCTTTATCAGCTGTTTTAAGCTTGCGACATCTAACATATCACATGTCCAAATCAGCCGATCTAAGATATTCACGAAACAACATCGATGAAACTTCTATACATTTATCTGTTAAGTATTTTCGAGATAAACCGTTTAAACTTTTAAAAACTATCTCTTCCAATTTGAACTTGATTCGTTGTCTACAGGCAGCCAATGCAAATCCCTCAGGAGTGGAGATGCGTGATCAAATTTTAATTTTCGATATATCACTTTAGCAGCATGGTTCTGAATCATCTGAAGTTTTGATAACAATTTATCAGCTACACCTTATAAATAATTATTACCTGCTTGAACCGATAAAGGCCTGAACACTAGCAATGAGAGCGTTTTTCATATATATGTATATGTATATATATATATATATATATATATATATGAATTGTTGAAAAATATATATATATATAATATATATATATAATATATATATATATATATATATATATGAAATATATATGAAATATATATATATACCATATATATTTGGGTTCATATATATATATACATATATATATACATATTTATATATATATATATACATACGGACATACGTACATACAAATGCATTTATATATATGCGCAACACAACTTGATCTGATATAGTGAATCAACTGAACAATTGCAACAATGACAGGGTGTTGATGAAATAATTTATTTCTTTTTTATTTATTTTATTTTATTTGAAGGTGCTGCATGTTTGAAAATGAATGCCGCATCTACGACGCAAATTTTTAGAAGCAAAAAGTTCATCACAATTGTTTTATTCGGTTTCTCCTTGATATATTTTTTTAAAAAGTAAGTTTTTTGTGCTTTTATTTGTATTCAATCATTACTTCAAGTGTCGATAAAAATTTAATTTTAAATATCGATATATTTCAATTAAATTAGCAGATCGTTTGAAAAGAGTTTGTCGCAATCAGTGCTCCAAACAAACAATACAGAGGCTATAATAACAAGCAGAAGTCACGTACCACCGAGAAACATCGCAGCAAGTCACACGTTCACAACCAGTAAACCCTTTTCGACTAACGCAACATCTGGAGATGGCTTGCACGGTTCTCTTTGTCCTGATACATACCCAGCTAGGCAAGATCACCTCACAATTTCCCAAAGCATGGTGTCAGATGGACGGAAATTGTTTGTAGTTGGAGATGTGCACGGATGTTTCGACGAGTTGCAAGAGCTATTGAAAATGTCAAATATTTCGTGTCGCACTCACCTCGTCATCCTCTGCGGGGATGTCATCAACAAAGGACCAAAAAGTCTGGAAACCCTACGATACATTCAATCTCACAAGGACTGTGTTTTTTCTGTGCGAGGAAATCATGAGCAAGAGGTAAGATGTACATACTTAAAGCTTGTCAATTACTTAGTTATCTAGAAAATATTCTAAATTTTATTTGAATTCATTTCTTTTGGCAAGCTTAACAGATTTTTGAACGAAGGCATGCCTTACAGTTATAACATCGAATCAATCAAAAATCTATCAACAATGGATGCTAAGTACAAATGGGCAACAAAACTTGCGAAAGAAGATATATGTTTTTTGAGCAGACTTCCCTATACTATCAACCTACCGAGTTTCAATGTTTTAATAGTTCATGCTGGTTTGAAGCCAGAAGTCCCTATCAACAACCAGTCACAAACAACTATGGTTTTCGCTACAACGTTGGAAACAAATTTTAGTAATCGAAGTCTCGGAAAACAAATTAAAAGACATCTAAATAAATCAATTCCAAGGCAAACCTGGGCATCACTGTGGACTGGCCCTCAGCTAGTTATATTCGGCCACGACTCATCAAGAGGCTTACAAAAGCACAAATTTGCCATTGGGCTAGACACGGGATGTGTTTACGGAAAAAAATTAACTGGAGTGGAAATCGCCATTGCCGATAAAAACTTGACACAGCGATTTACAAGCGTAAACTCTTTCGAAGATTATGTTAAAATAAAATTATGACAGTGAAACGCATCAAACGTTAAAGCACCAATCCACCCTCATGAAAGTTAAATCAACAAGAATCAACGTCATTAGGTAAGTATTTGCTTCAATGAAATCAGTGGCATTGAAAATCAGAAAAATCACCAAAATGCCTTAAAATCTACGTTTCAATAAAGATAATTCAATTTGTTATCAAAACCCAAATTGTAACTCAATGTTACACAAAAGAAAATCAGCATGAATCATTCAAAAACGCGTGCAAGATTTTTTTCTTTTTAGGTTTTTGTATGTATATCTTTATTTTTGTAGTGAAATTTATAAGAAAGTCAGTTACATACGAACGTCTTACATTTTTTAAAACAAGAATAAACTAAAACTGGTTTAAAATTTTTTGATTCGAGTGTTTGAAAAATATAAAATGCGTCAAATTTTTGAATTAAATGAGCTAAAATAGCAATAACGTGTTTAACCATTCTTCCTTAATTGATTATATTTTTACTAACAATTTATCTCCCCACAAATCTGGGGTAATCTGTTCTTCTTTATCCGATCATTTTCCGATCTTTACTGCATCTAAAATTTCTACATCTCTAATATCTTCAAATACTTTTATTCCAACCTTTAATTTTTGCTCGAATAATATTTGTAAATTAAATATATACCTTACAAGCTTTGACTGGAATCCGTTATATAATTGTTTTGATACTGATAAAGCATTTTCATTTTTTACCAGTGTTTTAAAAAATGCTATTTTGCAATACTGTTACACATCATTACCTTTGAAACAAAAAAGAAAGCAGCCTTGGATTACCAATGGTTTAATTACTTCATCAAAGACTAAAAATATTTTATATAAAAACTTTTTAAAATCAAAATCATCTTTTGACCGTTTGAAATATATTAAATATAAGAATTTATTTTCAAAGTTGTATAAGGTTTCGGAACACATGCATTATTATTATTTGTTTAATAAAGTTAAAAGCAATGGTAAAAAAAACTTGGAATTTATTGAAATAATGTATGGGTGTTAAAAAAAACCGACATTTTTTGCTATTAAATTGAATGATGAATTGATTACTGATGATCTGAGTTTGTGTATTTGTTTTATTGATAAATTTTCTTCGAATGTTTCTTCTACGTGTAATTATAATAATAATATTATTAATAATGATAATAATGGTGATAATAATAATAGTAATAATAATGTTGGTAGTAATGATAATAGTGGTGATAATAATAATCGGGGTAATAATAATGGTAATAATGGTAGTGATAATGATAGTAATAATAGCAGTAATAATGGTGGTATTAATAATGGTAATGGTAATAACAATGACTATAATAAGATTAATGGTAATAACAATTTAAATTTCAAAAAATATTGTAATGTTGATAAGGTAAACTCATTTGTTTTATTTGATTGTTCTGTACTTGACATTCTTGATACAGTGAATAATTTTAATAATTCTAATTCTTATGGTGACGATTTGATTTCAAATTTTCTTCTAAAATCTGTTATAACAAATATTCTTTCGCCTTTATGTCACATAATTAATTTATCATTTAATAACGGATATTTTCCTAAGTGTTTAAAAATTTCTAAAGTTATGCCGTTATTTAAATCTGGTGAGCCTAATGATCTTAACAACTATCGGCCTATTTCTATTATCCCTAGATTATCTAAACTCATTGAAAAAATTGTTTTTAAAAGGTTTACTAATTTTCTTAATTCTAATAACTTGCTTGTTCCTAATCAATATGGCTTTCGTTCTAAATGTTCTACTGAGTTTGCAATAGCTGATGTGGTTAACTTTGTTTCTCATGCCTTGGAGTCTAAAAGGTTCTCTATTGGTGTCTTTCTTGATTTATCTAAAGCCTTTGATTCTATTGATCATAATATCTTATTATTTAAATTATCTAAGTATGGTGTTAGGGGTATTGCTCTTGATTGGTTTGCTTCTTATTTGAATGAAAGGTTTCAATATGTTTCCAGATCTCCTCTTTCTCCTATCTCTTCTGGGGTACCTCAAGGCTCTATCCTTGGTCCTTTACTTTTCAATATTTTTATAAATGATTTCGTTAATTGTTCTAGAATTTTAAAATATATTCTTTTTGCCGATGATTCCACTCTGTTGTTCTCTAATTCTAATGTTAGTCAATTGGTATCAATTTTCAATGAAGAGTTATATAACGTTTATAACTGGGTTCAGGCTAATAACTTAAGAATAAACATAGCTAAAACTAACTTTATTTTATTTGGACCTAAGATTCGAACAAGTGTTGTTGATATTCAGCTTTTATTAAATAATGTTTGCATTAACAGGGTTGAATCTGCAAAGTTTTTAGGTGTCATTATCTCTAGCAATTTATCCTGGACTAGTCACATTCAATTCATTTCACAAAAGGCTACAAAAAATTTAGGAATACTTTACCGACTGAGATCAAGGTTTCCAAGACATATTTTAATAACACTATATAATTCTATTGTTTTGCCATTTTTCACCTATCGTATTTCTATTTGGGGTTTTACAACAAAATCTAACGTTCGTATGTCGAATCTTTGTCAAAATTATTTTATTCGTATTTTGTTTGGGTTACCAAAATTTGAGCATATCAGTCATTTGTTTATATCATCTGGAATTTTAAAAGTTTACCAGTTACACATTCTTTTTACGTTAATGTTTTTTTATAAATTATTTAAACTAAATTTTTGTCCTTCCTTGTGCCACCAATTAAATCATTTAATCAATAATCGATCAATATTTTTAAGACATAATATAGATTTTTATTTTCCTAAACCTCGTACTAACTTTTTTATTAGTTTCGTCTTCATGTCTCTTGTCGACTTTGGGACTTATTACCAATTCACGTAAAAAATTTGAATACTGCTGGTTTATTTAAAAATTCAGTTTATCAATTAATCTTAACGAATCATTTTTCCTCTTTCATTACCGGTTAATTCCCTGTGTAACTATGCTATTGTTTTCATTTGGTTCCTAAGGTTTTTGTCGATTAATTATTACTATTTTGTTTGGTTCTATTTTTTTTTCTTTCTTTTATCACTTATTGTTTATCTTTGTTCGAATTTTATTCCAATTTCTGTTTCGGTGGCCCAACAAGTGCAAACTTCGGGTCTCCTAGTATTATGTATTTAATGATACTTTACTGAATAAAAGATTATTTGAATTTGAATTTGAATCATTGATCTAACAAGGTCCACGACGTATTCTCAATCAATAAATTAGTTTTTGCCATATGTGATATGAAATGTGTAAAAATAAACAGTAGCTCTCAGCATCAAACACATTTTAAAAACGTTTGAGTAAATTAAAAAATTTGGAAGATTCTTGATTCAATCAAACCAAAAAACAATGAATGAAAAAATAAATTTGAAAAATTTAAATGAACTTGAGTAACTACAAACAGTAAACAGATGAAAACTTGTTTAAAATTAGTTAGCAGATGGATTCTTACAATCAAAACAGTTAAATCAAAAACAAATGAACGAAAGGTAGAAAACACTGCAAAAAGAATTAATAACGAACATTAAACATTAAAGTATGTATGATATAGAACTCCAAAAGAGGTAGTAGTAAACCAAGCAACACAAACCCACCAACAGTAAAATGATATCAGGTTATAATAACAAGATGTCGGAAATAACATTTTTATTTGAGCCACTATTGAAGAGAATTGTGTGGCCGTGTTGACTATTAAGTCACCGGTACTCTCAGAGTCCCAAAGGTGCTTGGTGATGTTGAAGAGCTGATTAGACTGCAGGGATTTAGAAGCTGGTTCATACAACGCAGTGCCAAGCAACAAGTGCGGTATGGAAAAATTTCCGAGAGTTTTTAAAAGTAAGGTGCAAAACAAAATTAAAATCAGTGGAGTTAAGTAATGCAAAGCCACTATACAGAGATAAAAATAGATTCGAGTGACTAATTTTTTTAACTCAACAGAACTAATTCTACCAACTTCTTTTTTGAGTTCTGCAACTTTGTCACAAGCCATGTTGAGATGAGCCTGCAAATGAACCCACACCAAGAGAAATCGAAAAACACAGAAAATGAGGATAATTAATAATCTCAAAGCTTCAAACTGGTAGTCGGTCATGAGGGGTTGATTATTTTTTAATTTTTTCACGACAAAGTAATCTCTAAATAATGGCTTTACCCACAACAAGGATAGCAACAAAGTGAATATAAAGTTCATGTACAACATTGCACTCGTGCCGGGACTCTCTTTAGCATATCTTAAAGCATCTACATGCATTTTGGCCAACCTGATTCCTGGAAAAGTAAGTGTGGTGCCTATAATTGCACAGGAAATTGCAATGACAATCCTTACCATGGTCATCGAAATGGGGCAATGTGGTTCAAGTCCTTGTGATTCCATAAATGCAATGGTGGCCTTAGAAAAGTTTAAATATGAAGATTCTAAACCCAAGTCTAAAGTACCTTCATCTACGATAAGAATGGCCATGGCAAAAACAAGAAAGAAAAAACCAAAAAGTAGACATAGAACTCTTTCCCCACTCTGCTCAGTCTTAAAATAAACACTTGTCAAAGAAATTAATGTTTTCAATGAATACATTGCAATAATCAGACACCAGAAAATGCTTAAATTGACTTCTCTGCTTGGATGTAAAAAAAAATAATAAATGTCAGTTAATGTAAAAATAATAACACCACATACTGCGACATCAACAATCCATAAATATTCACCATAATATTGCAATGGTAAAAGATCAATAGGTTTAATTGGAACAGCTTCTAACTGAATGTCAGCTGACTTTGGTATAGTGAAAGATTCATCTTTAGCTTTCTTAGAAGGATCAAGCTTCTTGTAACTTTTGTTGTGTTGTTTGTTACTTCCTTGACCAGATGATCCTGCAATTTTCCTCAGTTCATCATCTGTAGGATGAAGATACCTAGCCAGCTTTCTGCACAAAATCCACCTTCCAAATGAATACTGTCCAGTGAACTTGGATAACAAAAAAGCAACTATCATGCTGAAAACAACTTGCACACCGAACAAAGCCATCACCTGTGTGGAAAAAGTAATAAGAATATTAATAACATTCTGATTATAAAATTATTATTAAGGAAATAGTCTTCAAGTAAATGAATATTTTCAACAGGATATTGCAATCAGTTCTTTTTTTATTAATTTGTAAAATTAATAGATACTAATGAACAAACAAGTACTAAGGATTAGTTAGCCTTACGTTCAACGGTTAGGTCTCTTATAATATTATAGTTATACATAACTAACACCATATGTGTGTTTTGTAAATATAACATCAATATAATAGAAAGTTTGCCAAAAATTTTAAACATATACCTATAAAATAACATTAAACAACTAATTAGTAATAAATGGTCGTCTTTATCATTAATTTAATTAAATAAATTAAATTTTACATAATACTTAATAATATCAATAGTCAATTAGTCACTATTGAATAGTGTTTTTAAAACATTGTTTTAGCTTTCATTCATTTTAATCATTAATGATAGTCAAATAAAGCATCATTTTGATCAAGATTTAAAAAACAAAAAAAGAATAAATAATAAATTTAATATAATAGATAAATTTAATTAATTAAACTGTCAATCAACTCTACCTAATGATTAGATTAGGTCCTAAACTAATCAATCTTATACACCAGGATTGGGTGGTTTGCTGTTAACAAAGTATCAATCAAAAATAAGAACAAAGGCAGCAGGTTTTAAAGCCGTCTATACTTCTATTCTAAAAAAATAATAATATAATACATTAAATTAATGTTATCTGTATTGTATTTATTTTTTATTATTAATAAAAATAAAATAAAGCAAGAGCAAAAATCAGGCAGAAAATTTTGTAATTGTGAAGGGGAAAGTCAACAAACGGACACTTCAATAACAAACTTAAATAAAAATTATAAAAAAAGTGAGCAAACGTTAAATTAAATAATAATTGTAATAGTAAAATCAAAACTAAATCACAAGAGGCACACCTCGTTAGGATCGAAAAACTTCACGGCAAGCACATGAAGTAAAAGCCGATCAGATCTGCAAAGAAAAATAAATGCCCTTGAGAGAGATGTTAACAAAATGTCGGTTTTATCGGTAAAATTGTCAGGTGGCAAGGTTGGAGACGGTCATGGCGGTCATCATATATGTATATTAAAATTGGCGATCATCATTAATCTATATATATATTCGGTCATGTAGTCATACATATTGAATAAAAAATCGTGTAACTATCTTCTTTCTTTCTTTCTCGTGCCTTATCATTTCAGGACATTGGCGACCATCGACCTCCACAAAGCCCCATCTTCAACACTTTGTAGTAGTTGAAATGTGGTGATATTCAACAAACGACACAAAGACTTCACGAATGTTATTCGTTGTTGACCGCGATCTCTTTTCCCTGCAATCTTTCCAGTAATTGTTAGGTTTTCCATTCTTTCCTTCCGCGCATGATGTGACCAAAAAACTTTTACTGCTCCCGTCGAATTATCTGTAGTAATTTCATCATAACCGGACCGTTTTAATACATCCTCATTCGAAGTATGAGAAGTCCAATTAATTTTTATAATTCTTCTCAAAATCAAATACTTTTTATTGATCAAATACTTTATATTGATTTATCCATTTTTATTTGTTTGTTTAGCTCATTTATTTAACTTAAATAATTTTATTTGTAATGACCCATCTCATATAGAGGTAGAAAAGTTGACAGCATGGCAACAAACTATCCACAACTGTTTCCCAGAAAACCAACGACAAACACAAACCAAATCAAAAAACATGTGTAATTATGCGTCAGATATATTAATCATGTTATTATATGTATTATGTTCAATGATTTATGGGTATATGAGTGGAGTGGTGGACTAGGCGGACGAGCTGCAAAGTTTTTAAAGAAATCAACATTAACAATGTTACTATAGTTATTAACAGCTGTCAGCATTTTCCCATGTTAAGTTTTATTTATTTAGATCACTTATTTAGTCATCATGGACATTTTATTGTGTTGGATTTTTTTTAAGTTGAATTATATTTATTTTAAGAGATAAATCTTGTATATTATTTGTGTAAAATAGTTTATTGGTATTGATAATTATTATTTGAAGATCATGACTCGATTCTTTTTAGATCAATATTTAATAAATTAATATCATCACTAATTGCTTTCGACCTATAAAATAGATTTGTGTTGCGTCATCATACATTATACATCTAAATAGAGTAGATACATTTGGAAAATCATTTATAAAAATAGTAAAAAGAAGAGGGTCCAGTATTGAACACTTGAGCACTCTGAAACATCGGATCAATGGATACAAATTGTTTTCCATTTGACAGGTAAAACATACAGCGACATATGTCGCTAACAGAGGCATATCCAGAATTTTACGATAGGATAGGAGATATGGTAAGTAAGAATAATTATGGAAAAAATTTAATCTGTTGCTTATACTTTCGACAATAACATTCAAATTTTACTTTTTATTAAGGTTCAAATAAAGGAAAAATAGAACAAAAATGATCTAATTAAGTTTCACATTTTTTTTGAGACAGAGTAAAATTTTTAGTAAATTGTCTATGGAACCAGATTTATACAACCATAAAATCCAAATTATAAATATATCAATAAAATATGTCACATTAAATCCAAATCTATTCTAACTTTTCCAACAAGAATAAATGAATACATCAAAGAACATGAAAAAACAAAAATTGTTAAAGAGATGGATTATAAGATTCCTCCCTGGCTGTTGCTACATGCAGATATTGATACTAGTATAGCAAAAATAGAAAAAGACAAAAACTTAGCAAAAATGTTATTCAAAGAAAAAATTCAAGAGAATCCCAATTCAATTGAAATATATACTGATGGCTCAAAAAAAGGAATATCAACTACAGCAGCAGTAGTAGTCTACAGACAATAAAAATGCATAAACAAAATCATGCAACATCTTCCAAATCATGCTTCAATCTTCACAGCAGAAATCATTGCCATTCAGATGGCAATAAAGTTCATATCTAAATCCAATAGTAAAAATTTCATGATATTTTCAGATTCATTATCAACAGTTACGGCGCTTAAACAATATAGACCTCAACACAACCTTATAATTCAAACGCAAAACAGGATACATGATAACTTAAATGATAACAATGGTAAGAAAATAACTCTGATATGGATACCCAGTCACATAGGAATTCAGGGTAATGAGGAAGTCGATCAACTGGCATCACAAGCTCACAATATTCCAATATCAAATCTTCCCATCCTACACAATGATTTAAGATTTTGGACAAAAAAGGTTTCAATGGAGAAATGGCAACTTGAATGGAACCAAACATCAAACTTTCTTAAATTATCAACACCATTTCTCAGCCAAAAAAATGAATTTAAAGGTTTAAAACGTAAACCTCAGACAATTATCAACAGATTAAAAATAGGCCATTCAAGTTTGACTCATTCCTAGATTCTCAACAAAACAAATTCGCCTACATGCAACTCTTGTAACGAAAAACTAACTATCCATCACATTTTGTTAAAATGTAATAGTCACAATAATAGTAGGAAACGACATGACATCCCTTCAGTGGTAGAAAAAATTTTTTCCAGAGATAAAATCAATAATCTAATATCATTCCTTCAGGAAATACAAATTTTTAATAGAATTTAAAAATAATTTCCCAAAAGTTTTAAAACAACAAAACGCATTTATAGAAAAGGAACAAAGGGCGTAAAGATAGCCAGTTGTGCTGAAACGCCGTTAAACTGCACAAACAGGAACGTTTGTTTGAAAATGATTGATGCGTTGTAAACGTTTGTTTACGACATACTCGGCAATTATTAATATTTCAGTTTGATAATAAAAATAATTTTGTAGAATGTTTTTTATAATGTTTTTTTTACAGATATATAATACCCTGACATTGGATGTTGCTAAAAATATTTCGGTTTTGGGCTTGATGAGAAAAGTGCGTACCAGCTGTTACACACACCAGTTTTGTCATTGCTTTATTAAAAAAACACTACATTCTTGTTTATAATATTTTTTACGTAAAAATGGTCACAGATTATATATTTTATTTCCTCTTGGCTTAGCGATCAGAATGCATCATTGCAATACCCATTATGAAACAACAACTGGTCATTGGTTAAATAATATACAGTTACATTTAAAAATAAGCGTGAAAAAGTTAGAACCTATTCATCTGTCACAACTAAATTAATTTTTAAACCTGCCTCTGTAGAAACATAAACATATAAATTGGATTTACTTAAAATTTATTCTGATTTTCATAAAATATTTTGTTAAAAATTTATTAGAAAATTAAAAAACAGTCCATTTGAAAAACTAAGAAACATCCATTGAGTCACCGACGTTGAATTCTGGTCGGGAGGTGGTAGCAGCTTCAGTTTCCAGCACCTAAAGCGTTTAATTTTAATATATCTTTGAATCATTCAATAACAACAATAATAATTGTTAACCACAATTAACAAAACTTACCACATGAAATTAACAAGAAAAAGCTGTAAATACTTTTCCAGGTGCTAGAGTTTCGTATCTGTGCCTCAAAGTCTGGAGTTCATATTCACTGTTGGCAAGGGCTATTTTCAATTCATACAACAAGACCATATCTTGTCGAAGATCATTGAAGCTGTTGACGATTTCTTGTGTTGGAACAGGATTTGGTTCTGGAAATGGAAACCAAACGGTAAAAGAACAAAAAAGCGCGCAAATTTTCGGTCCATCAATACAGTCAGGAAATACAATGAAACAATATCATCATCATCGACAAATTTTTACTAATAAAAACAGAAAACAAATAAAAATTCCACTGCTAAAACAAACAGACCTATGGCAAATTCTTCCAGCATTTGTTCAATAGCTTTAGTCTTTTTTTGACCAAGAGAAATGGGCAACTTCATCTACAACGATGTTAATAATAATAATAAATACAAACAGACACCAAAGAGCATCACAGCAATCTAATCACCTTTTGACTCCTGAGATAGACGCCAGATTGTTTAAAGTCTGGAAATTTTATGCTGGTTGATTCTGGAGCCACCTAATTAAGTAAGAGTGATTTCAAAATAAATAAATATTTCAAACCTATTTCAGTTATTAAAAAATTCCAAGAAAATTAGCTCAATCAAAAGTCTGTATAGTTCAAACATTAAACGCAAGAATGTCAAAATGTTTTCATCCACAGCAGCAGATAAACAATAGATAATCTTTGAATAACAAAAGAAAATTTTTAATTACACAAAACCAAAAAATATGATCAAAAAAATTTAAAACGTGTAGCTCACATTGCTCTCCCTGGTTTTGTAGGGAACAATTTTCTTTGAAATTTTCCTTTCAGATCTTCGTGAGTCAGAGTTGTTGTCGGCAGCTGTGATCAACTTTTGGAGATCCATTGCCTTCTTCTCTCTTTCTTTTTTCCTCTGCTCAATCTTTTTCAATTCTTGCACCAGTCGTTCCTCTTCTTCAATCTACATTATTAAAAGTCATCATGTCAATGTAATGATATTAGCAAATAGTTAACAGACGCCGCCCAAATACATTATATATTATATTTAACCTGTTCTTCGGTTCTATGGAAAAGTTTTTCCAGTTGCTCCTTCCTTCTGCGCTCGTGGTTGGCGTCAAAAACTCGCATCTTCTGATCACTTTGAGGATTTCTCAACTAAGAAAATGAGATGATTGAATCAATGACAGGTAGGCTATTAAGCCATCAAGTTAGTGTTGCTAACCCTAAACTGAACCAAAATAAGCTGAACTGACTCGAGAAAATTAATTCAACTCAACCAGTGAAGATGATGATGATGAAAAGATGAATAATAAATTGGAATAAATAGAGAAAAATAATTCAACTCAACCAGTGAAGATGATGATGATGAAAAGATGAATAATAAATTGGAATCCTTATTATGAATCAAAAATTTAGCTTTCATTTCATTATGTCCAAAAAATCATGCTCCCATCTGCTTGGCTGTTTAAATTTGTTTAAACTAAAATGACTTTTTTTTTATTAAACTTTGCTTGAGAAATGATCTTGGCTAATCCAGGTCAAAATGCCAAAGTCAACAACTAGGAGATTTAGCATAAACTAATACAAACATTAAGAAAAGAGACCAAAATGATGACAGACTTTGTGAAGTATGTGACAGATGGCATAGTATCTCTCTTTGAGATCTTCTATCGACCTCTTATGTGGATACCTCTCTCTGTTCCAGCGATCATGCACGATGACGAATCTGTTCAGAGACATTAAGCACAGTTATATTGCAAGAACAAATATGGCTAGCATGATAAAATTTTTTAAATTGATCCAAAAATTGTTACTAACTTCAAACTTAAAAGTGTACTTTAAGGTTTTGAGAAAAAAACTAAAAAAATTATTGTTTAGTGTACTGATGTAAAACAGATCTAAACATCAAATGCATACAAAAATTGATTAATGAATTAGATGAAGCACACATACTCATGAACGAAATCAATTAAATAATTATATATATTAGCACACATAAACATACACATGGACACACACACACTTTTTTGTTAACTTTTCTCTTTGTTTTTGAGATTGTTTTTCAGAACTTTTGTTTTAACTAGCGCTTTATAAGCATCATTAATAACTATAATATAACAAGTATAACTATAAATATAGAATAACTATAAATATAACAAGTGTCTAGGTGAAAAAAATAAAATTATGCAAGTAATTATATCAATATAATCAAAAAAAAGTAAAAAACACCATTAAACCAATTTCTGAGATAATTTACTACTGCAGTAGAACACATCTTAAAAACAGTTTAAAATCTCTGAAATATGAACCTGAGATCAAATCGTTTGCAAAGGCTGAAGAGGTGATCAGTTTCCTGCCTGGTCCATGCATCACTGTGCAGATGTTGCTGGTACTCCAGATCTGAGTATGTTGGCACGTCAATGATCTTGTTGAAACGAACAAAAGGATACTCCAGTCCCTCATCTGCTATTCTCCTCCAATGGTAGAACACGGCACCATCCTTATTTTCATGAATGACTTTCATTTTATTATTAAATAACATGACAATTCAGGGAAGTCTTTTGAAATTACTCTGACGAATAAAATTTTTTTATATACCACAAAATGAAGAATGTGACATTTTAAAAAAAAGTTTAATGAATGGTCTATGCTTTATAATAATCACAATTGATTGGCTCTAATCATAAGAATAATATACTAAATCATGAAAATAAATTTCAATTTTTATGGTTTCAATTTACAAAAATTGAAAAATCATTCATTATAAAAATAGGAACAGTTAAAAAAACATAAAACCTTTCTCGCGGGATTAGTAAAGGGCATCCACTTCCAAGGTCGTACCTTGCTCCTTCCGATCTTGGCTTTTGGCTGTTTGTAGGTGAGGGTGCTGTCCGTGGGGAACAAAGGTGCTGCATCTCTGAAGTTTGTGCAGGGCAGACCAAATTTTTATCCAAACATTCAATCCAAAATGTTTTCAATCCAAGAGGTTAATTAAAAATTAAAATAAATTAGCTAAGAGTGAAGCAAATTAACAACATTACTTGTTGTCTGTCCAGAGAAGTCCCCACAATTCTCTGTGCATTCCTTCTGGCTTTTTAACATTGGGTTCAGTCTTTTTAGATTTTTTCTACAAAAGTAAATATGATGAAATGTTAATTATATTTATATATAAATAATTAAACTTGTGTTATTAGATCTTCTAACCATTTCAATTTTTGAAATCTAAATAATTAAGGGTCTGCCTACACCTAATCCTGTGGCACCTGAAACTGCTGAACATAACCACCCATACATCTCAATCTACAGAGAAGCATAAAAGCATTGATGATGTTAAATAAAAAAAAAACTTAAAAAAAAAAATCTTGTTTTCTAATAAAAACAACAGTAAAATCTTAAAGAAAATAATTCAAGAGGAGCATAAATAGGTTTTTAGACTACATAAAGAACTACCAAACAAACAAAATGACAAAGTGGTAGAAACAAGCAAAGGCGAATGGGTCCAATGTAAAAGCAGAGTTATAGAATCGGTTATAATCTTTTTTGTTGGAGATTTTTGCTGTACTAAGAATTTTTTGAATCTAGAATCTGGAAATTGTTATAGAAAGTCTACAAGACAAATAATGAAGAGAAGGCAATGGCAATGGGTGGTTAAATTAATAGATGATCAAACATTAAAATTATTGTTATAAAAAGAATTTATTAAAATTTTCAAAAAAAAAACAGCTGTTTAGGTTTAGACTTTTAGTGTTAAACTATGATTAAAAACATCAATGAAGAAAAACGTTCACAAATTTCTGTTATAATTTCCTGTAATGTGCAAATATGTAAATCAAATTATATTAATTATTTATATGGTTATAAATAAAAAATAATATAGAATACTAAAAATTTAGTTTTAATTATCTTATTCAATGTCAATCAATATAATTTATTTAATTTAATAAAATTTTATTTTAATCAAATGCAATGCATGGCTAGGAAATTAAAATTAATGGGTACCTTAGAAACAACAATTAATAAAATATAAATTAAATTAAATAAAAAAAAAGAAATTAAATTATTTTAAATTTAAAATTTTTAATAAAATAAAACAAATAAAATCATCACAATTTTATTGAAATTTTAATCATTTCTAGTATAAATACTATAAATCATTTCTAGTATAATCATACATACAACAATTAAAAGTACAATAATACAATTATATTACTTTTTTGTCCCCAAATAGTGATTCTCGAGTTATAACATCCTCTTTTTCTTCTCTAACTTCAATGTCTAAAATATCTCTCAAGTCATTACCAGAAGCCATTATTATATTATAATCGCCAATTGATTCAATCAATAAATAATCAACATAAATATGAATTTTCAGAAGAATTGCCTTATTATCGTTAAATACACACAAAGACTTGAGATCATAGAATATATTTTTTTACACCATCATGAAATTAGTTTATTGATATCATATATATAGAATATTTACATTATATTCCTTGATATATATATATAATATATAATATATAATATTATATCCATAATTATGTTACTTTATATTATATATATATCCATTATTTATAATGAATATCCATGAATTTGTTATAGGAATTCAAAACTATCAAAGATAGATTATTATTAAAAATTTTCATGCACAGAAGAATTTATTTAATATTGTCATAATAAAGATCACGTTTTTAACAGTCCGTCAACCTGGAAAACTCAGCCCGTTATTTTTATGCTTCTGTTTGAATGGGTATATTGTATGGCAAGTGAGTTTACAAGGGTCAATTTGTATAAGGGAAAAAAGTTGTCATAGTCACTCAAGATTTTTAATAGCTTGAATCATGCTTATATTTAATATTTTACTTTTGTTTTGACCAATATCACCAAGGAGAACACTGAACTCGTTTAATTAATTATTTGTGCAATTCTCATGCAAAATATGAAAATTATAAATATTAACCTAAAGAAAAATCAATTATCTATTAAACCCTAAAGCAAAATATCAACCAGCAACATGTAAATTTGGTCCCACAAATCGCTTAAAAACAAAAGGTCTTCTTTAAAAATACTATCAGGCACTCAAAACTTGAGGATGAATTCCCCCGTCGAACCATCCCACCAACAAAAACTAATTTTTTTCAGAAGTTATCTTGGACATAACTCTGGTTATATGGTTTTAATATTAAAATATTCAAACAATGAAAAAACAACGAGAAATAAGCGAGAGAAAAAAAGGCCATCAACCTTTAAAAATCGTTGATCTAAGATTTATAAAACGCGTTCACACATTTATAATATGCAACGTTTTGTTTTTTAATGAAATATATGTAAATAACGTTACAGCTGCTCCTAAATTTATTTTTTCAAAGAAAATAAGATTTTTTTTCAACAAATATCGAAATGTCATACATTGATGATCATTTACGAGTTGAAGAGCGTGTAAAACACGTGGTTATTGGCGATTACAAGATCTTGTACCTTATCGGATCTGGAACTTTTGGAAAGGTAGACGCATTTGTTTGAATCTTTGTATTTATACTTAGTCCTACCATTGTAAACTGGTTCAATAAAATATTTTTAAAAGTTTCGTGAGTCAGCTTTAATCGCACGTAACATCGGTCTCCAAAAAATGTTCCGGTAGGTTTAGAGGACATAAAAATCAATCAATCAATCAATCAATCAATCAATCAATCAATCAATCAATTAGCTTATGAAGCGCTATTTCCGCGATGTTCAACAGCGCTCCTCAATGAATTTTGAAAACTGATGGGTCTTGAGATCCGCTCTGAACTTCGCAAGTGATGGAGAAGTAGTCAGAGAAGTAGGTAGAGAGTTCCAGAGAAAAGGACCAGAAAAAGCAAAAGCAGATTTGGCAAAAGAGTGTTTAACACGAATTAAGAAAAAGCGAGAAGAAGAAGACGATCGTAAACCGGGGCGTTTAGGTTCAATTAATATATCTGATAAATACTTAGGAAATAATTTAGATTGAGACTTATACATGAACGGGCAAATTTTAAAAATTATTCTATATTTTATAGGTAGCCAGTGCAAGAGAACAAGATATGGAGATATATAAGAAAAGAAAGGGACACGAGCAACTAGACGAGCAGCAGAATTAAAAGCTTTACTTAAAGGATAGAGTATAGAGTCAGGAAGATGATAGTAGAGCGAGTTACAATAATCAATCCTAGATAAGACTAACGAAGTAACAAGAAGGAGAAGAGAAGGATCATCAAGAAAAGGCAAACGTTTTTTTATTCTACGTAGATGAAAGTAAGAGCTTCTAGCAACACTATTAATCTGAGAAAAGAGAGACATAGTAGAATCAAAGATAAAACCTAGACTACGAAACTTATGAGAGACATCAAGAGTTTTAGAATCAGGTAAGAGGAATAGTAATAGAGTGTTTAGATTTATTAAAACAAATTAATTTAAACTTAGAAGGATTAAGTTTAAGACACATAGAGTCAGACCAAGCAATAATTGAAGAAAGACATAGAGATAAATTATGAAGAACACTATTGAGATTAGATGGAGGAAAAGAAATATAAATGTAAGAATCATCAGCATATAGTTGACTAGAGAAAGAAAAGTTATTAATAATACGAGGTAGTTTAGAAGTATAGAGTATAAATAGAAGAGAGCCAAGGATAGAACCCTGAGGTAGTACCCCGAAAGTAAGAGTAGAGGAGTTAGAAGTAGAATTATTGAGAACAACAGAAGAAAAACGATTACAGAGATAAGAAGAAAACCAAGATAGACAAGAATCAGTAATATTAAAAGAATGATGCAGCAGTCTCAAGAGAATAGTATGGTCAACAGTATCAAAAGCCGAGGAAAAGTCAAGAGCAAGAAGAAGAGTAAGACTACTATTGTCACTAGAGAGAAGGATATCATTGTGCAAAAATTGTCCTCATTAGAAAGCGAAATGTGAATTTTTAGGAAAAAAAGGAAATAGAGAAATAGTTGTGACGTCTAAAAATTATTTACATTATTCAAAAACCATTTCATCCACTAGTGAAACATTTTATTTAATAATACCATTATATTTATAAGGTCTTTTTGACAAACAACGTGAAAACTCACAAAAGTTACTCAATGAAAATTATGACCCAAAACAAACACAGTATCAAAAAGCAAATGAATGAAATAACGATCATGAAAACGATGCTTAAATCAAGCACCAGTCTAATGGCGCAACAATTTGTTTCGGCATTTCAAACAATGGTGATTAAATTAAATAAGTTATTGAATATATGTTGCTTAAAAATTAGTTAACCGTTATACCAGCTATTTGTTTGCATAGTTGGCGAATTTATCGATGGATGTAATTTGAAGGAACTTTTAGAAAGAGAAACATTTCTTCAACATGAAGTTGTTGTTTTCTGCACGGCTACAGTTTACGTTGCAATTGAATATCTCCATGCTTTACAAATTGCTCACTGGTATGTTTATAGTGCCTAAATGTTTATTTTGCTAATAGTCGTGCCATATTAATTGTTAATTATAGCGACATAAAAACGGAAAATATTGTAATAAACTCAAAAAGTGGCTATCCGAAAATAGTTGATTTTGGAAGTGCTAAACATTTTGATAACTTGGATGCCCTCTGTCTAAATGTTCGTGACGTGGATTGTTATAACATTTTTGAAAATTTGAAAAAAAGAGATCTGAGTAAATTTTTTCAACTAACTAGAGAACTGGCTTTAGGGAAAGTAAACGCTTTCAACATTTTATTCAGTAGATTTTTATTATATATTAAGTTTGTTTAACTCAAAATATAATTTTGTATGATCTAGTGGTACGCCAAAGGTGTAATTAACTTGCATTATTAAAATAGAGTATGCTGACAACAACCTTTTTTATATTGTAGCCATTCAGCATTTGTTTAAAACCAATCATTAAAAAGTTGAAAATTTAATAAAAAAGGTTGGCAATAGCGTGCTATCAGATGTCACGGAGGATTTTATAAAATCGGTATAATTTACGGTTCTCTTTCGTTATATATATATATATATATATATATATATATATATATATATATATATACGATGTACCCCACCTCATCTTTACACAATCAAAATTATAAAAGAATCTATAACTGAATTCTTAATAGATTGGCAACCGCCTTGATTGCAATTCAGTGAAAACTCATCCATTTTACGAAGTAATTGCGTTACCCAATATTTTTTTTATAATATTACGAATAACTAAATAATTCCTATAATGTCAATAAACCCAAAACCTTGCAAATTACTAAATAAGTCATTTGTCATGTGTACATCCGAATATGTAGTATCGGGAGAAATATTAACTGAAAACGACAATATCTGATCAAAATAAATATAATTAATAAAAAGCACTGCTTAGAAGAAAATAACTGTCAAGGCAGTAATAACTTTAGTATTTAATTTCTCTCTTCACTTCCTGAATGTCTTGCTGAAGTCAATAGGAATCTAACTGATGAATGCTGCAATATTTTTTGTTAAAAACTGTTCTTGATTGAAATCTATCTTCTTCACAAATATTTTAGCTTGGTAATACCAACATGCAAACTCTAACTTATTCAATTTAAGGAGATTAATTGGCACGATCTAACAAACCAAAAAACGAAACCACCAGCGATTTTGTTGAAGCAAACGCCATTACTTCAAAATGTGACCGACAAGATGAAGCAAGAGTTGGTAGATGACGCGACGAACGACAGCCAGCTGTTGATACCAAACGACATGTTGCCAATCGTGCAAAGCATCATCGAACAGTAAACTTTTGAACAAATTTGTTGCTAATTTATATTAACATAAAGCTTTAGACAAATTTACAAAAAATATGGATTCAAATTTCGCTTCGAACAAAAATACTCATATAAAAACTGTAAACGAGGACTTAGTGGCAATAATAGCCACTAAATAATCGATGATAAATCTTTATAATTCAACCGTATGTACAATTCGAAACCATCAACGGACGACACGAATCGGAAACGTTTAAAAAACTACAAGAACGGCTGTATTAGCGGCGAAAGCCCAAATATCGGGCTACTGGACAAAATCAGTGAGTTGTCACTGTCAGCTTTTTGTCGCGTTCCATTCGTCCTATTAGCCATTATTAACAAACAGAAATTTGTAACAATCATTGGAACAAAAAAAGATTAAATTAACATAGATTTCTTCACACAGTAGAACGCCGTAAATATAATTAATTAACGTTATATGTAAAAAAAATACACTTTTAATGCTGACATACATTCACATCAATAATAATGTTATAAATATGGAACAAAATAAATAACTAATTGACGCACCAAAATTTTTACATATCTGTAGACCCCATCAAAATCATTCTATAAAAACTTCATTTCAACAACGCTAACAAAATGGTATTATGAAACAATAATTAAATTTAAAACAACATCAACGATAATGAAGATGAAAATAATATGGTGGACCATGCACTGTTCACTCAATCAGCTTCTTGGATTTAAAGTAACGTCGGAGATATAGCACCTGCCAAGTTGCTAAACCCAGTAAACAAGACATGGAAAAGAGGCTGAAGTACAAGACTCTTGAATGAGTCGATTCTGAATTGTAAAAAAGAATCATGGTTAATAAGTGGAAATTAAAAAACGATAGAAATATATACAAATTTTAAATATAACAAATTAACAAAATGTAACATTTCACTGACCATTAGTATCTCTCATCTCCTCTTCTCTGTCTTTCATCCGAGCAAAATCAGAAACAATTGCTTCAGATAAATCTTCTAACTTTTTCAATTCCAATTCCATAGGTTTCAATTTTTCAGCTTTGGCAATCTAAATGATGTTTTGTAATGTTAATAAAAAGCCTGGCAAAAATTAAATTTGATTATATATATATATATATATATATATATATATATATATATATATATATATATATATATTGGTTCATTTATTCTAAAGTTACTTATAAGTAGTGGCATTATAAAAGTTTCTATAGACAATTAGGTGCATTGTTTGAAAAATGTTAACTGCATTTTGTTGAATGTTGATGATAGGTTTCATTTCATCAGTAAATAAGGGTTTTGCAATTCTTAATTAGCTTTGGCAATCAAGATGAAAAGTCATTTTTGTCACTTTTAAAAGAATTTACAGCTGAAATTATTGCTAGTCACTTTTAAAAGAATTTACAGCTGAAATTATTGCTAGTAGTAGTAGATTTAATAATACAGTCCAATCATGAAGAATCTGTGGTTTGCCATACAATAATACATAAATGTCTAAAAAACAGCACCACTAAATTAGACAAACTGTAGCTTGATTCAAAATTTTTGTGTATGCTTACCAAAATTTAATTGTTTTCTACCAGTAGCATCGTTTCAATTAGATTTTTATTTAATTTATTTTCTTAGAAAATTAAAATATCTTTTTAATATTTCCTAACTTTCAATACAATAATTAAAACAATTTTTAACAGAATAAAAAAGATTGGGTGGTTCATGGTACAGTTTAATGATTAGAAGATGCCTGAACTGAATATTAAGAGACATGCACTCATCTACTAGTTCAAACTGCTGAAACTTAGTACAGCTAACTTTTATAAAAATATGTAATGGCCAGTTGATTAAATTTTTTTGTGTGCTAGTTCTTTTTAATGTCTGCTTTTATAAATGGGTTATTACTAGGCTGTAATTAAACAAATGAACCTGAAATAACAATGATAAAATGATAACAATAAACAAAACTAACATCTGCATAATTTTTAGCTTCTACACCTCTTTTAACTGTGAGGGATACTTCCCTATCCAACCCATGAACACCTGAGAAACATGCCATCAGAGAATAGGTTAGATACTGAATTTTATTCTCATTAATATTTTAGGAAAAAACATAAAATAAAAAAGAGCCAATTGGCTAAAAAACATGGAAATGTGCAAATACAATGCTCGGTTTACTGAAGTAAAATAAGTAATTCTGAAAAAAAATCATTAAGATGAACCATGGGGAACGTGGCTTTCAAAGCAAATTTCAAACATATCAAATTCCTCAGTGGTGAAGGCAAACTTGCCCTTCTCTGCATCTTCTTTGTTGTATAGGAAATGACCTTTAGAATCTACAACCTATCCAAGTCAATGTTAAAAACAAAGGTGCATTAAGAGAATAATAATAAATATGATACATATCTAATCCATAGGTTGCCATTTTTAATAATAAAATATTATAATATTTTATACAAAAAACTGAAAACCACACATGCACGCACACACACACACACACACACACACACACACACACACACACACACATGACATGCAAAACTTTTAATTTCATTTAAATTTTAACTTCAGCAAAAAAATTTATAAAATTTTTTTGAACTATAAAAAAACTTCTGCAAACAAAGACAATGGTCATTAATTATATACAATAATGAATAAAATATAATATTCAATGTTAAAATAAATTATAATTATAAAGTGTTTTTAAATAGAAAAAAGGAGGAACATAATAATTAAGTATTGTGTCAGTTAACTAAGTTAAGTAAGGTAAGTCTAACTAAAACTGAACTAAGACAGACCTTTTATTAAAATTACTAAAATTTAGTACAAGATAAAGAAACCATATATTTTTATTTTGTTTTGTTAAATTACATTTGTGATTTAATTGAAACTTTTAAAATCATTATAAAAATTCTAAAGTTACTGAATTACCTAGAAATGCTAATTAGATTGTCTGATTTCATTTTTATTTTCTTTCATTTCAAAAACTAATTAGCAAAATAAATAAAATAAAAATAAAATCATAATATATAAATTAAAAATGTCAAACAAATTTAAGTTAGAAACGAATAAATTTAATTGACATAATGTGAAACGATAAAAAAATGAAAAAATGCGGACTTTTAAGCTGGCTTTCTGTTCAGGAACAGCTGTAATTGAATATTCACCAGTGACCAGGACATCTTTGTGAATCTCTTCCTTCAGACATTTCTTTTGACCAGCAGGAAGATTGAATTGAATTGAAGAAATTTCAGATAGAAAATGTAATAAGAACAAGCAAGTTAATAAATTAAAAACTATGCTGATCTCCATGGTGGCAGACGAAACCGTACAAACTAACCAAACGAATCGAACGGTCTCAGAGCGAACGAAAAGTAAACGATCAAACGTGGCAAAAACAACTTCCGCTTAAAGTAAAAGCAAACTCAAATAATTAACTTTTAATCTACGTAATCTTTATTCTAGATCTAGAAACAGTATCTTATTGAACAAAATGGTATCATAGAATGAATAAAGATACTTTTTTCAAAGATTTAAAAAATTCTCAATTTGATTTCATTGCGATATCGATGATGATGATGATTGTGACTTGACTAATTAAAAAACATCAAATAAAATTTACAAAATAGGATGGGTATATCATTGCGAAATCGTTGGGGGTTGAGTTATATAGTTATATATATTATATATAGTTATATAGAGTTATATAGAGCTCAAATCCTTTATAGACACCTTTCTTTGAGGTTCTTTTCTTTGCCGACCGGTCGGCTTCTTTGCGTTTCTCTATTTTCATTTAAATTAATTAAATAAATAAGATTTTTCCATTCATTTAGGTTCATTCAGGTTCATTCATCCAGATTGAAGCTTCCAGAGGAGTTCATCGTGGAAGATCAGAATGGTTGTGATGTCACGCAGCGTTCGTTCATTCAGTGGCAAAGAATGCACGCCTTGCTGGGGTTCGTTTCACGGTTTCTTTGCGGTTCCTTTTTTGCCAGTTGGCTGGCTTTTCCGGCTGGCGGGTTTCACCGCGGCTCGTTTCTCTATTTTCATTTAAATTAATTAAATAAATAAGATTTTTCATTTCATTCAGGTTGAAGCTTCCAGAGGAGTTCATCATGGAAGATGTCAGGCTACGTTCGTTCATTCAGTGGAAAAGAATACACGCCTGGCTGGGATACGTTTTATTCTTTTTTCACTGTAATTTAATATTAAGTAAGAATGCTCACACGCACACACACACACACACACACACACACACACACACACACACACAATTACATTACGTAGCTATATAGGTAGGTTGGATAGGCATAATTTTAATTGTAGGTAGGATATATAGGAAGTTTCTAACACTAATGCAGTTGAATGGGTAGGCGCGTAAGTATATCGCTTCTATTTTTTTTTCTTGCACCCACATTACACGCATCAGCGTATTACACACAAACACACAAATAGATACAAAACCACATATATTAGTATTTGAGCGTAATTTTCTTTTCATTACACATTCTAGTTTATTATTACTAAGGTTGATTCAGTCATTACGATATGCTGTGAACTATTCTTACTAAACAGTGGCGGATCTAGACAATTTTGATGGGGATGGGCCAAAATTTTAAAAATGTTTAAAAGTTTAATTTTTTTTCAAATTTGGACAGGGGGCCAAGATTTGTGGTAGCGTTGCCAAAATTAGGCTGGCGAACTTTTTTTGATATAAAATGGTGTTTTTATGCAAAAGCTGAGTTCTTTTAATAAATATACTGCTCACAACTGGGTGATGGTCTCTCCGGCCTTACCCCAAGATCCGCCACCGAATACATATGTATAATACTGTTATAATACTCGCTGTCGTAACCGATTTACGACGGGCTCAAATCTTCGATTGAATAAAATACTCCAAACAGTTATTAGTTATTAAACTTTATTTACAGAAGAAATCAACTAATCGTTTATTTCTAGCAAATTCAAATTAACACAACAATTAACTTTTAAATTGTTCAAAATCTATCGCTGTGACAACGTCAACAAACAAATCAAATACTGCTTTTAATAATTCACCGAATCGCTATTCACAAAATCACAGAGTCACGAATTTACAAAATCACGAATTTCCACTAATCCTCTTGCGACGTGCGCTTATATACTCTTCGCAAGCGTCGTTTCTAGATTCTTCTAGATGGTCCGATTCTAGCATACTCTAGAATGCTCCAGTCACTAGAACATTCTAGAATACGCTAGAATCTAGTGCGTTCGGTAGCACGGTTATAACAATACATATACATTCAATGGCGGATCTTGTACATTCAGTACTGTATTTTAATAGCGCTCTGAAATTCCCCTGATAGTTATTTGAGATCTAATGCACCGTCATCCCGGTGTCCAAGCAAAGCAAAATTCTGTCTTTCACAAAGTTTAATAGTTTGATGATATATATATATATATATAAATTTATTGAAACTAGAACTATTGTTCAAGTTCATCTTAATAATAAAATAAAACTATTGCTATCCAAATTCATCATGCAGATAGGCCTCATTTTGAATTTGTCGCAATTGCAGGTTTGGTTTATAAAATTTCTTTAAACAAAGCAAAATTAGTCTTTAGCAAAGTGAGTTGGCGTCGTATTCTTCATCTATGTTGTTCTCATTTCTTTGTTCTTCAATTTTATTGATGTTAGTTTCAAGGCGTCGACTTGTTAATGATATAATCATACTTTTTTTTACTATCAAGACGTCTCACAATGCATACTCAAAGAGGAGCCATCAAATCTCCTCATAAATATCAATAAACCCCAAATGAACATCCAACAAAGAATGATTACATAATTACCAACCCGAATTGGAAAACTATATATTGATTCTCCACTTTAACCCTACCTATATAAGTCGATTAAATATTTGGAAGACTGTTCACTAGAAGGTGATGTACGCTTAAAGCCACAAATTTTCAAAAATTTTACTACTCATTGAAATACTACAACATGACGTAACTTTCAACCAAACCCTCAGTTTGAAGACAAAACAAAATTTAGGATCGTATGACAGATAAATAAATTCAGTAAATTTCTTAAGTATTTCCATTGACAAGATAGAAGTCACGTTTTCTAGAATGATTATAAAGTATTTGTGTCTGAATATCATATATCTCGGTATAAAACATGTTTGTACTACAAAGGCATACTCGGTAAATGATTTCTGGGTAATGCGTACGACTGTACATGTTCTCTAGAGAACTCGTAATTTATTTCTTATCAAATTTCGTGCGAAAACCACTTCACATACGCAACATGAAGATGTGTGCAGTCATGTAGATTTGTATTGCACTTTATATTTTTTCTTACATTTGTTATAATAATATAGCGATGCCGAGGTCGAATTATTCAAATTTTTGTAGCTTAAGGTGAATTGCAGAAGTCACATTTAAAACGTGTTCGTGAAGCTTCTCATTCATATCATTATATATATATATATATATATATATATATATATATATATATATATATATGTAGTGCATTATAATGTGCATTCTTACTAAAAAATTCGAACATGAATTGTTATAAATATACGTAGTTAGCAATAGCTTCGTCAATTTAAAACTCTAGTGACGTTTTACATCCGGATTTTGAAAAGGCATATGTTAAATGTTCAACCATTGTATTTCTAGCAATTAATTACTTTTAATAAAGCTAAACTATTTAGTAGTTAACTGACAATAATTAACGGAAAACATTAGAAATATTTTGTCCTCGTTTCGTGCTGGAGACATTGGAAATACTTTAATCTTATTGTATACGTTTCTTTGGAGGAAGTTTAACGCTAATTATTAATATAGGGCTCGGTTCATTCGATCGATTTTCACTTGTTGGAAAGATCCGGAGGTGGGTCGTCGAAATTTATTTTCATTCGTTCCGACGTATTATATTTATTTTTATCATTTATTTGTACGATATTGATTTTTTATTTTCAGATATTTCAATTAAATTGCTCATCGCTAGCCTTGGTTTATCGGTCTGAGATTTTGTTCCTTGAAAAAAAGAAAGTTGAAACAACCAGAAGGTCGTGGGTGTTACTTATTTTTCATTTCATTCATTATGTTATTAACATTTTAGCACTTATTTCGAATGTTTTCGACATATTTATGTTTTATAAATCAACTTTTATTTAGTGCTTTTATATTTATAATTTTTTAGTTCTAAATGTAATTTTAAACTTAAGTTAGAGAGTATGTGAAGTATTTTTATTTTAAATTTATTATTTATTATGATATATAAATATTTATAACATTTTATATTAAAATATTTACTTAATATTAATTATATGTAATTTTTTAATGAAGGCTTAAAAATATTTTTTTTTTAAATTTTAAGATAATTAAATTCATTTTTATTATGAAATTGTAAAAATTTCTTATTTATTTCATTCCTGCATTAACATTCTTTTTATTTTGAAAATAATTAAAATTTATGACTTTTTAGAAATGAAGTTCTCAGCTATCCGTTCGGGTGCCAAGTTGACTTTTTATATCCCCAAATTTGTAAGTAGTTTTCAAATCTATAAATTCATTTTACAGTTTCATTTATTTAGTAATTTGATGTTTTAAATTATAAGGCCATTGAATTGTTATTTCAAATGCTACTGGGAGGTTTCGTACGTGTTTATTTGTTTATATATCACATAAAATGTTAGTAAGGTAAAGAAATTTTGAATACATTTTTATTAAAATGTGCTTGAGTGATTTATTATATTGTTCCAGACTAATCAACCTGATTTGTTCAACAAATCGACATCGACATCTGACAACCTCATCTCGTTGGGTGCCGCCCTCATATCACTCTTGGGTTTTGGCATTTCCTCGTTCAGTGTCTACAAAATGCGAGAAATCTCGCTAGCCAAGAAGAAGAGTTGAATGGCTTACCTGATGTGTTTCCTTCTGTAAACATTACTCCTTTCAAGATATTTACTATGTGCACTAAATAACATCTTTCCACATGTTTCCATATCGTGAATCAGAAAACAATAATTAAATTATCTATGTCATGTATTTTTGTCACTTTATTTTTGTGTTTTTACCAACTGTATATTTAATTTAATTTAAATGTATATGTCTAACCTAATAGTGTCGTGATATTTATTATTCTAATATATTTACATTGTGCTAGGAAAATATATCTTTTTGATGAATATTTTTGAAGTTAAACAATTTTGTGTTTAGGTTTGATGTTTATTTTATATTCACATTACATTAAGCATACTATGTGCATGTGGATATGGGTTTTAATATTG